TTGTGTGGTAAATGAAAAATATGTGACAATTCCAAGAAGTCTGTGACCACACCTGGATGGTGAGCCGGCTTTGCTTGGTCTGCAGCAAATAGCCGCGCCACTCGTTGAATGGCGTTGAGGCCACCCGGGCTGCCACCACTGCCAGCAGCAGCACTTCTGGTGATGTGGCGCACACGCTGGCGCCACCCAAGCCGACCAAATAGGCCGTTGCATATCTTCGAACAGCACCATAAAGCATATCTCGGCCAACCTGGTGCAGCGTTGTTTTCGGGTGATGTCATTGGCCTCTAGTGAGCCCATGTTGAATCAAACTGCAAAGGAACCCACTGCACTCCTTCAAGGATTGATGGGGCTAGAAAATCATTGTGAGGTGAGGACACCTGACATTTCCATGTTTACTTGAGCGGGGAAACACGAAAGGTAGAGAGGGATGGGGTAGCTGTCGGGACCTTGTCTGGTGAGGGGCTGTCTCCGGTGTTTCAGGAGCGTTCCCCTTGGTCAATCATGGATGGAACCAACAAAGCCAAAGAGCACAAGAAGGCTCAAGAGGAACACCGTTGCGATCAGATTGCGCCACCCGGCTCTGCAGAGAGGCTGCGTTGCGTCGACGCTCGTTTGTGTAAAGGTGTGTGAAAACAGGCGCACGTAAAAGTCGCAATGCGTAAACGCTCGCATGTTAACCAGCTATCTTCCCACAGCTACACGCACTGTGTCAGGATTACAGGCCTGCACGCGTTGCGCCGAAGCCGCCGGTACTGCCAGGGATGGACGTCACGCTATAGTGGGTGGCTGATGGGAAGGGTGCGTAAATAGCTGTGTAGTAGTGCTCCACGATGCGGTAAGATGTGGCCACGCGAGGCTCCGCGAAGCGAGAGGTTTCTCCACAGGGCTTTGCGGAGAGGCTGTGTTGCATCGATGCTCGTTGGTGTCGAGCAATATGGTCTGTGAACGCAGTATGCGCTATGTCAGGCTGCCGGGCGCGCACAGCATCGAAGCCGCATTGCGCAACCTCATTGTGCAGGGTTCGTGCTGTATTGCGCAACCTCATGGCCAGCGTCGTACTGCTGTGACTGCTAAGCGCATGACTTCACCTTATGGTGTGATGGTGTGTCCAGAATGCTAGTAGTGCTGGTGAGGGAGGGGACGGGGAGGGGAGTGGAGGGGAGTGGAGGGGAAGGGGGGGGGTGCAAAACAATTGATTTATCAATGAATCATCACATGGGAGAGGAGGGGGGGGGTGGGGGTGTTAGACATTGATCTACCAATCTTTAGTCCCGAGCAGTCTCTCAAGCCAGTCCCTTTGCTCTTCGCAAAGCAAACTCAAGGTAGTCCTTACCAGGCTACCTTTCGTGACTAGGGAATGGTGGTCCACGCTGCATCTGTCTTGCTGTGCAATCCTCAAATCTTGAAGTTCTACACTACCACTTGAAAAACTCCCTTGCCAACTTGTCCCGCCAAGAGTTCATTTTGGGTGCGTAGTTGTTCATCCAATCAAAAAAGCAACTATGCTTCCATTCCGCAATCACAGCTCTAGCTCTAAGCGTTCAGCCAATGTGAGCTTTCTGACAGGTGGCAGTTGGAATGTAAGCCTCGTAGATATTGCTAAGGTGCACTGGCAGTTGCATCGACTTGCGGTATCCTCAGCTTTGAGCAAGATGATGCACACTAACTTCTGTGCTTACTTCCGCCTTCGCACCATAATGGAGCAATTTTGATGCGGTGGGCAGAAACCAAAAAACTTGTTGCTCACCAAAAGAGAACGTTTTGGGAATGCCTGCTTATTTGCAATCCTTCCTCAGCACGTGTTTCTGAATGAGAAACCGAGAAACATTTCAAACAATCATCTTGCAACTTCTTACTTTTGAACTACCTGCGACCTCCATGCACAAGCACGAGGGGTTTGTCCAAGTTTCTGATGTTCATGATGGGCAATGTGACCTTAGCAAGGTGCTGATCAGCGAGTAGCTTAATGTTTAGCTGCAAGGCCCGCAACTGCCCAAATCCCGCATTGAAAATCCCGCATTGATCTCTACCATCAATTGCTAGGTAACTACTTCAATGTTCAGAATGACAGCGATTCATCCAAAAGATCAAAAATATCTCAATCACCACACTGCGACCCCCCAGGATCAAATTGATCTGAGCCCTTCCCATTTTCATTGCAAATGACGACAAACGCCACACCGAACCATGTAGAATTCTTCACCGATCCGAAATCACTCCAAGGTGCCGTGGCAAAAACGAAGCCGGTGAAGGTCCCTTGCAGCGTGGCCGGCACTGGAAAGGCCGAGGCCAAGGCCAGGACTGCTTCGAAGAGCGGCAGCCTCGTTCTGAAGATGTGTTGTGAAAAGACTAAGTAGAAAGAGCTAAGAGTAGAAACGGAGGGAAGATTGCTCCAGTGGCAATGGGAAGACCTATGTAAGCAGCATTTGATTGATTGTTGAAGCCCATGAACAATGGAGGTGTGCAAGGCCAAAGCCCGAAACCCAAAGCTTTCTCGAAAAATACACTGAATGGTCACGCCACTGCAGCAAGTTAGTCACCAGGGTCGTCTTGAAGAATCTCAGCATGGCCGAGGGCTGTGACTCCTTGCGGCATCGTTTGCAGCTCTATCCCAATCCTGCACTCCTACCGTCCCTTGAACTATCAAACGTTCAAACTGTTCTCTACAGATTTGCGATGGTATGGTCCCTGAGCTGCTCAGCATCAAGCTTGAAGAAGAACCCGAACCTGAGGACCCCTGAGATGTTCAGTCCTGGCCTTGCTACTACTACAGGAACAAGGATGCTACTAGGGGCTCCTGGCATCGCTACTAGGAGCATTCTTACTACTAGTAACATCTAGTAACAAGAAGCTACTAGTTAATTTAACTTAATTTTAGTTTAATTCTGAAAGTTTTTTGTTACTAGTAGTAAGGCACTTGTTACTAGTAGCAAGGCACTTGTTACTAGTAGTAACAAGAAGCTACGAGGAACAGTATTCCTCATTCTTTGTGATTCCCATCTTTGCATTCCACTCACTCTGTCACTCCATGCCGGATGCCACGCTGGAGTGGTCGTCCTTGATGGCCTGGATCACCTTGACCCTCAAGACCAAAACCCGATTGCCGATGGGCTCTACCACCGCTGACACCATTGCCTTGTCAATGGAGCATCACGGCTTTGTCGATCGACATTTTGGAAGACATGAAGGAGAGACCGCAAACAGCTGGATGATGCTTGCATTTAAACACGTCATGACCGGAAAGGAGGAAACAAGCCTTCTGCTTGAGCACGGACACATTTTAGATTGTTTAGGCGTAAGTCGCTGAAGGGGCACAGCGCCGCAAAACCTCTTTTCGTCAAATCACTGTCAGTTTGTCCCTCAGCCAGTGTCCTCGACAACCATGCGTGTCCAGGCGTCAATCGGTGGAGTGTTTCCACATGATTCAAACTCTTTGCAATGCGGACATATCAGCTTGAATATCTTAGCTTGAGAATCTAGGCATGCTCAAAACATGCTGCCTGAAGCCGAGACTACGAGGAATCCAACAGGGTGCCTGAAACAGAAAGAAACACCCAGGTTCACAAACAAAAAAACGTCTTAAAATGTCACTAGTAACAATAAGGTTTTCTTGACCTACCCGAACGCTATGCGCCTCCTTAACTACTAGGGTCTCCTGGCCGTACTACTAGGAGCAAGTAGCTACTAGGGGCTCCTGGCATCGCTACTAGGAGCTAGGGGCTACTTCTCCCTCTCTTCGACTGCCTGGAGCAAAGCAGCCACCAAGCCAGCGCCCAAGGCGGTGGGAACCGGTCTTGACACGATCGTCGCGTAGGCTGCCTGCGTTCGTCGTATCGTCGAACGATACATTTTGCTTTGGGACCGTTCTGCATTTCCCTAACTCCTACTACTAGGAGCGATCGGACGCTTCGGGCCCGGGCTCCTGGCATCGCTACTAGGAGCATTCTTACCGCTAGGAACAAGAAGCTGCCATGGCCTTTCAGATGGAATCCTTCCCTGACACGTTTCCGTTTCAACATCTGCAGAAAATGCATGAAAATGCATGGACCAAGGAGAAGTCTTCCATACATTTGGACCCAACCAACGGTAAAACCAAAGCGTTGGTTTACTGAAACGGCTGAAGGTACGGCTCGCGGGTCGCTACGGCTTGCAGGTCGCGTCTCGTTCTTGGGCGGCGGGTGCCTTTGTCGTTTTTAAGTAAGGTGGATGGAGACTTCTCCTTGGTCCAAGGAAGACTTCTCCTTGGTCCATGCATTTTCATGCATTTTCTGCAGATGTTGAAACGTGTCAGGGAAGGATTCCATCTGAAAGGCCATGGCAGCTTCTTGTTCCTAGCGGTAAGAATGCTCCTAGTAGCGATGCCAGGAGCCCGGGCCCGAAGCGTCCGATCGCTCCTAGTAGTAAGGCCAGGAGCGCCCCGTTCGTAGCGTCCTTGTTGTAAGTTTCTTTGTTTCTGGTTGGCCCCACATTCAACTCCCAGGCACTAGTTTCTTCAATCTGCATCGGTGCTTTGTCCGCAGCCGCGCAAGGATGCTGCACCGCGGCCGTGTGTGCTCCGAGTCTAGAAGGGTTCCAACACCTTCCGAAACACCCCGAGCGGCCCTAGCCTGACTGATGGGCCCCACCATCTTCTTGCTCCAATTCCGCCCTCCAGGTGCTCTCTGTGGCAGCTGTGGAGCGAACGCGGTGCCCGCACCCGCCAGCGCCGCAAGGGCTGCAGCACGGGCGGCAGGACGCGGACGACGCGGGCGGCGCGGCATTGTTCAACGGTCGGTCCACAGGCGAAACTGTTGTAACCGGGAAACGAAAGCCGGTTCAGAGCCAAAGCTCAGGCGAGAAAGCTAGGCGCTGAATAGATAGGAGTTGCTTTCAACATGAGCTGATTCATTTTACGTGAACGTCACGTTTCTCACGGTTATTTGTTGTGTAATTGTAGGGAATCACAAGAGCTCAACCAAATGCGGACATAAACTACAAGAATACAAATGCTTTTTATGGCCTCAGCTACCCCATCACGAGCGGAGTTACATATAGTCACATGCCTGGAAATCTACTAATGAGGGCCCTGGCTAAGAACTTGAAAGAAGGACGAAGAATCCACTGGCATCGCTACTAGGAGCAAGGACGCTACTGGGGGCTCCTGGCTTTCCATCTTTGAGCAACACCTTTCGGGTGATCCTATGAAGCAGTCACCCACTGTCTTCTCGCAATCCGTTGACATGAAGCAAGTTTTGCCACCCGAAGTCTTCCAAGGTCATCGCAGCCGAACTTTTCGCTGCTCTGTACAAGCTTTCCCACACTTCCATACATGGTACCAACCTCACCTGGACGTTCTGACTATCACATTCTTCTTAAGTCTGAAAGAGAACTCTGAAACCCATAGGGCTTCAAGGTGAGGACACACGAATTTCAGCGGCCGACAAAGACATCTCCTTCCTGCAGAGAATGAGAAAACTGAAATTCAACTCAAATCTAAGTCTCACAGCTTCGCCATTAAGAACTTGAAAGCGATAACCTCCAACCTACCAGCGATGGTCCAATATCTCAAAGCTTCACCATTCAGATAACTGGAATGGTTTTCACACCAAATCTTCAAAACTGTCGGGCCTCCCTTTGGACACGAACAAAATCCATCTGCTTGAGGCCAACCACTTTTGGCATGTCACTTGGACTAACTACCCTTCCCAAGAATGAACAAGCGACACATGACATACGTATGACATTTGAACCTTTTTTGGACTAACTGCCCCCCCACATCTCCACTCCTTGGCTTCTTCGCTCCGTGCGCAGAACGTGCGGCGCACCGTGCGGTTCTTGCCAAGGCGACTTCCGCCGAGCGCACCGCGCGCAGCGTGCGCTGGAGCTGCAGCTCCGGCGATGGTAGTTGAGCGCGCAGAAGGCGTCGCTTGGAACCTGGGCGGGGCAGTTGGACGCACCCCTACGTGCCCAAACGAATCTTACACATGGACAGAAAATTACAATCCAAGAGATTGAGCGACTGCACAAGTATGCCTTGTCTGTTTTCTCATCAACAATGTATCTGGGATGTGCTGGTGTATTCCTGGTTTTGAAGCTCTGTGCTTGTGGATGACTTAGTGAACTGAGGACCATCTTACCTTGTCAAAAGGTCTATAACATCGTCGAGCCCAACGATTTGCAAGGAACCTAGCAGCCACTGGAAGCTATAAAGGAAAATCAAGCGACTTAGTAGACGGGTTGCACATGAACATGCGTCGAAGATTGCTTGGTGCTCAAGGTTGAGTCAAGGTTAAACTATTGAGGCTAATTCTCAGCAATTTCCAGACTCTGAGCGTTCAGCTTCAACAAAACAGGTTTTCTCGAACATATCAGCCTGCAGCCGTTGCTTATTTTCAAGGTTCTGCCTGGAACCTCTGGAGGCCATCGCTAGCAGAATGGCAGCCATCGCTCTTAGGTTGGAGGCCATTGTTCCTAGGTTGGAGGCCATTGCTAGTAGGTTGGAGGGCATTGCTATTAGGTTCACGATTCTGCTTGGAACCTCTATTTAAACACTTCCAGAAGGAGGGCATGACTTCCCTCCGTTGTCCCAGGAATTCACCACGGCATGTCCCACTGACGAGGTGTTTCTCCCGTGCACTCGGTTGCGTGACACTCTTCGAAGAGCGATGGCCTCCAACCTACTAGCGATGGCCTCCAACCTAGTCAACTCTGGGTAATACTTTTCTTTTTTCAGATGCTGTCCAGGAAACCAACCTTGACCTTCTTGGCGCACGCCCTGTGATGGGCCACGTCCACCATCTGTGCGGGCTCTTGCAACCTCTTCCTCCGCGACAAACCACATCCTCAAATAGGGTTTGTGCTTCATTCCAGCTTGCCCCTCCAAGTTCCCCACTTGGCCAACATGATTTCTTAGGTATTTCCCCTTCCCATTGACCAACCACAACTCGCTTCAGCAGTTCCCTCTTCTCAAAAAGCAGAAACGACCGGTCGTTTCCCTGATGTTCCCAGTGCAGAACCCCCGATCTCGCGAGGATCTCTGCATCATAGCGATCCATTCGCTTCGGAAGTGTTCCCAACCCCGATCTCGCGCCAGCAGCAAGCGCTTCCGAAGATCCAAGACCTCCCAGATTCGCTTGGAAAAGGGTGACCGTGACCGCGGATCGGAGACCAAGCGTCATCCACCGGAACAACGGCGCTGCCGCTGTTCCATCCGGTTGGGCGTGGTTTGCATCGGGGTTTCAGGTCTGTTCTCATGTCAGGGCCCGAGGGCTTGCAATGGATGATCTTTCTGCTTCTTATTCCTCGAAACCATCTCTCTCTCTCTCTAACCAACACCTTTACCTTGTCTCAAGAAGAAAAACGGGCAACACGACTCTTTCCAGCAAATTTCCTGACCTCCCTCATGTTTTCCACCCCAAACCTACGAACATCATGCCCTTCCACATTCGCCGGCTCCACCCACCCGTCATCGCACCTCCATGAGTGGCAAGACCGGTGAAGTCACGTGTGTAGACCCCAACCACCGTGCCACGTGGATCGTCAAGTAGCTCCGGATCCCTCGCCGCAGCAGAAACCGGTCAAAGCCCTCCGCGCGCCCCGGCGAGGCCGCCTTGTGCATCGGGGCATGGGGAGGATGCTTAGAAAATGAGCAACAACAACCACTTTTGGCAAACTGCAAGTCTTTTTTAAGGACGTGTGGTTAAAATCTTAAAAAGAAACAAGTGCTAGTAGTAACAAGTGCCACGCTAGTAGTAACAGGTGCCTTACTAGTAGTAACAAATCGGACTTTTTTGATCGAATCAAACATGAATTGCCAAAACCACCGCACCGGACCAGAACGCAACTGATGCTCATGGATTGCCAGACAACTGATGCATCGTTTGCAAAGATCGCAAAACTGGAGAACGCCACTTGATTCTCTTGGTATCTCTTGGTCTGAGTGGTCTCAAAGCACCCCAATGCATCTCACATGAAAGCACATCCAGAATCACCCACTTCTGATGTCGAACAGGCCAAAACTCAGAGGCAAGGTTGGAGGCCATCGCTAGTAGGTTGGAAGCAAGCGCAAGTAGGGGGAGGCCATCGCCGAAACTTTTTATTCTTAATAGTAACAAGTGCCACGCTCGTAATAACAGGTGCCTTACTAGTAGTAACAAGAAGCTACTAGGAACAAGTGCCACGCTAGTAATAACAGGTGCCTTACTAGTAGTAACAAGAAGCTATTAGATTTTAGTTTAAATCAGTCTTTCTTTTAGGAATCGCCCAATAATCTTGGCCTGCACCCACCTCCATCCAATCGTTCGGCGTCCAAACCGGCCAAGAGGAGCCAATACGAACTAACACAATCCGAACGAACCAGCCAACAGGAGCCACTCTGGATGTGTCCACCTCGTAGCTCATCTGCTGAAAGGCCCAACCGAAGGCCTCCGACAGGTCCAGTTCGCGCTCGTGGAGCTGCAGCTGCACCAGGCGCCGCAGCTGCACCAGGAAGATGTGATGCCTCGAAGCCAGTGGTGATAGTAGCGATGCACTTGTTCCTAGTAGCTTCTTCTTTCTAATAGCTTCTTGTCACTACTAGTAAGGCCCTTGCTCCTAGTAGCGATGCACTTGTTCCTGGTAGCTTATGACCATGGGCTACGATGCACGACAAATGCAACAGGGCCGAAACTAGCAATGGGCTAATGGCGGCCTCCAACGATAAGCTTGGAGGAAGAAGTTGTGGAGTTCGTGAGTTCTTCCACTTTGGACTTTAGTTGGGGTCTCAAAGGGAAAAGTGAATTTGATACCATGCTCAACGCCACTGAACCATCCTGCAAGCCTCTTAGCAGGATCTGTACGTGCAAAACACACCAATTGAATTGATTCTGACTTAGGATAGTCCAAACACTGACTCAAACTTGGTCCATGGTGCTCCACAGCCGCATCTTGCTGTGTGAAGACGCTGTAGAGGCTAATATGCTCCTCAGGGCGGTGGGTAGACCAGCTTGCCAGCTTAACTCAGCCCAGGGGGTATGGCCCAACAATGGAATCCCGGTTCTCTTGCCCTGAGGTCTTATGATTTCAGCAGGTTGAAAATGGACAAATCCCACAAGTGGCATGTGCTTTGGCCCAAGCCGGCAAGGTTCAACTTCGTTCATGCGGTTCCAGCAAATGCTTCGGGAAGAAGACACGGTCTGATGGCTTGGGCATAAATCTGTGACCACATGTGACAACAACCGAACAGAAGTGGCACTCATGAGCCTGCCATCATGTCCACCATGAGCGTACGCTTGTCGAGTTTTTTGTGCCTGAAGATGCACCCTTTGATCGCTCTTAGTAGCAGTCCGAACGCCCCCGTTCGGTTTGCGATGCCGCCCCGTTCGCGTCCGAATGCTCCGTTCGGTTGGAGGTCACATCCCGACCGGCCCACCACCCAGGCTCCAAGTTCATCTTCGCGCGGAAAAGACCTTGGCGATTCCGCTGGAGGCCGCAGCGTCCGGCTCCACATGGTCCACCGGGTCCCAAAGCGTGCTTCGAGGACTTCGGTGCTGTGAGCTCCATATACCTCGCGGCCCCCGTGGCAGGCATCGGCATGGGATCGACCCGTTCAACTGCGCATTGCTTTCGACTTGGTTTCGGTCACAGACGAAGGTGACAAATTGAGGTATCCCCCTATCCTCCTTGAAACAGTTCTCAAAAGTTACGAGAACGCAGGCTTCTTCCGGCAGGTACTTAATGGGCCCGACAAGGTCATTCCACCACCCTTGTTGGACTATGGAGAAACACTCTCAAACTCCCCCCAAAATTGACTCATTATGCAGAAAACTCGCGCATGAACAACTGTTTTGGGACTTCTTCCCGCTTCTCGAAGTTCAATTTTCGGGCCCCGTGCCCAGCCCTCAATTGCTCCCTCTTTGGGGTGTCCAAGGGGAGCCTTCAAGCGAGTCGAGCGAGGCCTCAAAAGCTCCAAGCGCAACGCTTCGGGCAGCTCTTCCAAGGTCCTCCAGTGTTCCGACCCGGTGTAACATCCATTAGGTTGGAGGCAATTGGAGGCCATTGCTGCCAGGTTGGAGGCCATCGCCAGTAGGTTGGTTGGAGGCCATTGCTACTAGAGTGGACTGGAGTCCCTGTGGTCCTCTGCCGCTGTGGCCGCTCGAGACCTTGCAGCGCTGCCTTCAGCCGCGCGAGTGGGCGCCACTGAGGGGGGCGAGGCCTCGGTGGTCGTTTGATCGCTTGCTCCTAGTAACTAGTAGCAAGAATGTTCCTAGTAGTAAGGCCAGGAGCTCCTAGTAGTGTCCTTGCTCCTAGTAGCGATGCCCTGCTCCTAGTTCACCAAGAAGCTACTAGTAGCTCCTGGCCTTACCACTAGGAGCAAGAAGCTATTAGGGACAAGGACGCTACTAGGAGCAAAGGGCATCGCTGCTACAAGGAAAGACGCTACTAGGGGCTCCGGGCCGTACTACTAACAAAGTGTAGCAGGAAGGCTCTATCAACAAGGCCTACTGGTATTTTCTCACTGCCCTTCGTGCCGCGCCTCGGGGTCTTCTCAGGCCCTGCGCGCCGTGCGAGGCTGGCTCTGGTGCCTGGCTCCGGTGCTTGTTGAAGGGACGGGAGTCCCCATTAAGGAATCCAACTTGTCTGATGAGCCTGGGACGCTACGCACGTAGCTTCTGGTTCCTAGTAGTAGGAGCAAGGACACTAGGTGGAGGCCAGAATTCGTCTCAAACCGTCGTGGTTCATCGGAAAACTGCCGAGCACCAGAGAATGACTTGTTAGCGATGGCCTCCAACCCGAATAGCGATGGCCAGCAGCTACGTGCGTAGCTTCTTGGTATTTGTTAAAGTTGGTCCTAACAAGTCTCCTACCCTGAATTTAGTAGCTTCTTGTTCCTAGTAGTAAGAATGCTACTAGTAGTAGTGCCAGGAGCCCCGATCATAGCGTCCTTGCTCTGTTCGTAGCGATGCCAGGAGCCCCTAGTAGCTTCTTGTTCTGGCATGAATGCTGCTGGCATGAATCTTTGGACTTCGAAAAGCGTATTCAGGTGAAAGCACTTCACCAGCCTGCAGCTCCAGACGTTGTGCGGCTTAGCACCTGCGGGGAAACAGAGTCAGTCGCCTCGTGTTGCAAGGAGTTCCTAGGTTCCCAGAAGCAAGAACTTGAGCTTTTTGGTCCATATTCAGATCTGTTCTCATGTTGCTTTCTTTCCACTCATCCCTTTCATCTCTCTCCACCACAGTGCCACGATGGTTATCAGAATCCAAGATGTCTCCACATGTTTCCAGCACCTCAAAGGCTGCAGCCACACTTTGAAGCGACACGCAGCCTGATGTCGAGCGAAGGAACTTCGACACCTTTTGCGGCAGATCGTATGGACTCAAACAACCTATACGGCCTCCACCTTAGTTACGATGGCCCTCAACCTACTAGTGACAGCCTCCACCCTGTGCTTTGCCTTGCAAGCTACTATAGCGCTGGCCTGCAACCTAGTAGCGACGGCCTCCAACCTACTAGCGATGGCCTCTAACACCTACAAGTACAGAAAGTTAGAACTGTCTTGGTGAGATAGCAAGTACCTCAAAGTCAGCCACAGCACATATGTATAGCTGTGTTTCCGTAGATATGAAGGAGTTCATCTGACAGAAACCCAACTTCTCGGCCGCATGGACGGTCGGAAGAAAGACAACATCAAAGAAGCTTCTCAATGCCATGGAAAGGAAAGGGCCGTCCTTTGCCAATTATTTCGACACATCGACTGACTGGAAGAACCCGCAAATACATCATCACAAGCACCAATACGGACATAATCATGTCTTGAAATACTTGTATTGACTCGTATCTGCGTGCTTGCTCATCAACTTGCTCGTCCCAAGGGGGTGAGTTCAACAAAACGTCCTGAAAGATCACATATTCCATCTCCTTTCATCTCCTTTCTTGCGACAACGCATCCAAAAGCCGCTTAAACAGCTGGGCAGGCTCCATGCCTCTCAGGCTGGCCGCTTGCTCCGTTTGTGCGGCTTGCAGCGCTCTCGCTCGGTAGGCATCGCCTAGGAGCGAGCGTTTGTTTAGCCACAAGGATGCTACTAGTAGCTCCTGGCCTTACTACTAGTAGCATTCTTGCTAGTAACAAAGGGCATCGCTACTAGGAACAAGAAGCTACTAGTAAC